TCCTTCTCCTTCTCCTTCTCCTTCTCCTTCTCCTTCTCCTTCTCCTTCTCCTTCTCCTTCTCCTTCTCCTCTCCTCTCCTCTCCTCTCCTCTCCTCTCCTCTCCTCTCCTCTCTGTCATGGTCTCACCTAGCATACTCTGAAAGATTTATGTGCTTTTAAACAGTGTAAATCTTTGCTTCTCTTTTGGAAAGCAGTGAGGCTGGTTAGCTTGTGAAATCCCATTAGAACATTAAAGCAGCTGTCTAAGCATGTCACCACTCATTCATGACGAGTTCACTCTCCTTGAGTACAGAGCTGTGTAATACATTTCCAATCCAGGTGATTCAAAAAGAAACCATGCATGATAAGATGTGGGCTGCATTAAAAAACAAAGCAATTAAAATATACTCCCTTTTATTCAGATTAAGTGCAGTCCTCACTTTCCTGGCTTGTTTACTAGTGAGCTCTTCATTTGTGCAAAGTTTGACTGTGCTTGTTTCTCAGTATGATAGTTTTCTATAATTGTCCAGCTTTGAATCATGAGCCTATGTAGAATCAAGATATAAAAAAATAATCTGTGGCATCAATTTAAAAATCAATAAGACATAAAACTATGTTGACAAACATACAAAGCTGGCACAAACCTAGCAACAGCATGTTTGTCTGTAGGAAAATTCTTTAAGATGCTTTAAAAGGTATAGCTAAGTCATGGAACCAAGCTGTTGGACTTACGCTATCTGTAAAAGGCTGAAATAATACCATCTTTCTGCTCTTTGATATTGTATATAAAGGAATGTTTCTACATTGCATAGGCATTTTACTGTGTTTACAGGGTGGCTCCTTACAAAGAATCAAATGACTTCTAAACAATCAGCCATTTTAAAAACCCTATCAGTCTTTGTGGTTTTTTTTTTCTTTCAAAAACAAACAAACAAACAAACAAACAAACAAAAAACATCAAATAAAGCCCATCATATTGCTCTTCTGCCAAAATTTAAGCTCTGTTCTTCATCTGCTTTATATCCCAATGCATGTTTTTGGAGCATGCAAGTAGAAATTTAAAAATGCATAGTATTTAGCAATTTGCTGAATCCAGCCTTCATTACTTGGCCATTGACAGTGCAATGAACAATGTTTTATTCACTCATGCACTGGCAACAGTTTATCTAACCCTTGCTGTAGCCCAAAAGAACCTTCATCTGCCACATACTCCAAATGCAGCTTTTCTAATCCCAGACCAAATAGTGCTGGCTATGACAAAAAGAGAAATCTCTTTGATATGTCATTGCAAGTGGATGTGTAAATAAATACATATTTTTATTTTTATATATATATATATACTAGGTCTACATATGAGTGTTTGTATATGTGCATATACAGATAGAAAGATATACACACACACAAATAAATGTTCGCATGTTTATCTTTTTTTTTTCATTTATCCATTAAAAATGCCAAGAAAATATTCCTTATTTCCAGAAAATCAGTTTTTGACTCTTCAAACAGAATTTCTAGCCCTTATATGTTCCATCCCAAGAGTTCATTACATAGCTCCCCAGCTCTCTTTGGTTGGGTTGTAGTGGTCCTTGGTTAATGCCATGGCCTATGACCTCAGATCTTTTGGTAAAAATTCAGGCAACCATTGCTCTCCACACTCATAGCAAAGTTTCCTTTGCTCTATGCCTCCTTCACAGCTGGCACAGAAGGAAGATAATGCAGTGTTTGATTTGTGTGAGTGGTAGATGTTTGATCTGCTTCAAGGCCAGCTTTTGGAGTTAAGCTAGCAACTGAAGACACTGATGGACAGCTGGTGCCCAATTTTGTTTGAACATTTGCTCTCCCATAAGGATACATTTTCCGCTCTAAGTTTAAAGACTGTGTCTGTGAATTATTTCCATTGGCCTTTCCTTCCAGTAAATAGGTCAACATTTCACCTTTTCCCTTTACACTGACTTTACCCCTGCACACAAATTCATAACTGCACCTCTTTAATATTCGCTGAACTTCTTCTGTCACCTAAGGACAGAAAAAAAAGAACAATTAATTTCTCCTGTTCACAGGGTTAATCCTAGAACTGCCAACTGCTCCCTCCACTCTTCATTACCCATACTGAAATGCACATAAGCAGAATGAATTAGCATGTACTGCTGCTCCTGGCTTCACTTAAATAATTAAAAATCACTGATTAAACTAGAATCTGAGAATCAGAACTTCTGGTGTGAGCTAATCAAGCTCTATCCATCAGAAATATGTAGCCAAATTATCCACTTTTGTAAGCTGGAGTAAGTTGTTTTCCATTATATGCTTCACTTCTTCATGAAATGTATGGTTAAATTTTCGAGATTGCTTAGAAAACGCAGTGATATATAAAACAGAAGATACATAAAGTTTACAAAATTATCTTGGAACGCACTTGCCTGAATTTTCCCTTGCACCCCAGTACTATCCATCCGGCTGGCAACATTTACAGTGTTTCCCCAGATATCGTACTGTGGTCTTCTGGCTCCAATGACTCCAGCTACTACAGGCCCAACATTAATACCTAGAATCAAAAAGCATAAATCCTATCAAAAAGATGCCTCAGAATTTTTCCTATCATAGGACACAAAGTGTGTTAATGTCAACTGAACTTCAGCATTTGTAAGAGTTTAGAAGCAAAACAAGGATATACACACCAATATCCTACTGGAAATGCAACATATAATTTTGGTTTATCTGTAGATTTTTTTTTTTTTTGTTTCAAGAAAAGAAGAAAAGTAGTGGTACTGCAGAGTTTAGCTGTGGAAAAATCCAACACAATTTTTAAAATATCTTTCATCTTTTTGGTATGAATTCCACTGTGATTGCTCCTCTAACGCCTTTTAGTAGCAGATTTTCCAAGTGAACAGAAATATTGACCATGAAACATAATAAATGGAATAAGAGAAGTATGTCACATTGCTTATCAGCAATAGACAACTCAGGGAAACACTGAAGAAGAAGACAGTATGTGCAAATAGCTCAAGCACTTTTTTGGGAAACCACTGGCTTATCTCTACATTTCTGACTGATTTTGATGCCATATTTGAAAGATAAAATGGGATATTCCATCTTCTCACCATCCTGAAGAGCTGTTGATGGAAAAACCTCCACAATATCTGTGTCTTTTCAGGCAAGTTATGCAGTAGAATGAGGTTTAAATATCTGTCTTCTGCCCCCTTGTGAACTAGGGAAGACCAGTTACAGCATAGTACAAAAAGAATTTCAGACTTCTAATTACTGGATGTGCAGGAGGACAAAGACGTATAAGTTTACCATTGCTATCCTTGATGTGTTTCTCACTATGCTGATAGATCAGTTTTCCACTTGTCTAGCCTGATTTCACAATTTATGCATGAAAATATATAGAAACTGGAGAGAAAGGACTCAGGGGTAAGACATGGAGTAACATATAAAGGATTGCATGGGAAGGATCATGTTGTCAAGGCCAGAAAATCTGAAAACAGTCACAAAAAACAAGCGTGAACACTGACAAAAATAGAATGCAATAATTACATAAGAAAGCAGTAAAGGTAGAACTTTTGAAACAATATACATTCAGTCTAGAATTCATCAGGAAAATTTCTTCAAGTGAAGAAAAGATGTCAAGATGTAAGGTTTTCTTTTCAAAATTGAATTGAAGCTAAACCTCTGTTCTTATATATGCAAAATATCTACATATTTAAATATCAGAATTTATTTCAACACTCAAATATTCAAGTATTTAAAGATTATCCATAGAAACTCCATCAAGTGCTGAAATTTATAATGAAATTTTCTCTTTCAAATAAATTATTAATCAATTTGTAATTTTGTTAGTTACACAAAATGAATGAATGTCTGTAATAAGAACATTGAGCATGTTTTTTTTTGTCATCACGGTGCAATAACTTGGATTTTAAGGCATGGCAGATTCACAAACACTTTGTTCTAGTTCTTTCTGAATGGCAAGAATCTTAGTCTTCTCTATGGCTTTTTCTAAGCAAAAATTCCATCCTTGAAATAAGTCTTTCTTATTGAGAAATTATGTTCAAATTATGTCCTGGCAGAAAGGACTGTTTGAAGTGATTTGGAGGGGGAGGAGAATATTTCTTCTCTCTGGTGACAGGACCTGAGGAAATGGCTTGTAACTGTGTCACAGGTGAGTCAGACTAGGTATTAGGAAAAGGTTGTTCAACGAGAGTCAAAGCACCAGAATTGCTGTAGTTCAAAAAGCATTTGGAGAATATTCTCACACATACGGTTTAAATTTTTGGCAGACCTATATGGAGAGAGGAGTTGGACTCCAAGGAACCTGCTTTAGAGGAGTTGGACTAGATGATCTCCAGAGGACTCCAGGGGTCCCTTCCAACTCCTGATTCAGTGATTTTTGTGGATCCCTGCCAACTTAGGATATTCTACGATTCTAGGATCTATGAAGAACTCTCACCATACTTAATTCCAAGGAAGCCTCTGCAAATGCAGGATTTCCTGACAGCCAAATGCAGCCAGACTCAATTTACACCAGATCAGCAGCAGAACATGTAAGTTACAATACTATGTACACTAATAATATTGTATAATTTTCTTTTAGGTGTGAATAGACAAAGTAAACACACTAGAAATGGACACAAGTCATCTTTGTTTTAGTCAGGAGTACTGGACAGAGAGTACTTTGGAAACAGTAAAAAAAAAAAAAAGCTAAATAACAAGTGTTTCACTTGTGTGGTAATTGTAGAAAAATGGCTTACCAACTCTTAGGACAAAATCGTTGTAAGACTGATAGTTGATTTCATCAAGAACATCAAACATCTCTATTGCAAAATCTGCGAGTGTACTCAAATGGGAATAAATTGATTTTTTAGCCTAGAAACAAAACAGTGTTAAGCATTAGATTTACACAGAACTGATAGGCAGGTGAAACATCAGAGTGTAAAAAACAATGACTGGAATGAGTGAAAAACTTAGGAAACCCAACACATTTTGCTGTCTGTGAAAAGAAGCTTTTGACAGTGACTACAGAATAAGCATTGTTTTCTCAACTAGTGAATCCTTTCTCCTCTTCTCTCCTCTCCCTCTCTTTTCCCATTCTCTTTTTCTGATTTTTGGGAAGAATGGAAAGTGAAGTTCCCATGGTGAAGTAACTCTGCTCTGGATATTCATTGTGAGCATTGAGCTTTTTTTACAAAACCACTTTGCCTGATGATTATTAATAACTACAGTTTCTTTATTTTCTCCCTCTGGGGACTTTGATAGATTCCAGCTCTGTGATTCCATGATGTTGCCACTGACAAAATTCCTGTTATGTTTAGTCCTGTGAGATGCAGAACTGATCTATGCTTTTTGTTTGTTTTCCAGGCAAGCTGAAGTGACTTGTTATGAAACATATCTAAATGAATTAAAGCAAAAGAACCATAAGTGATCAAACGAAATTATGAAGTACCACGATTAAGAAACAAAAGAAAAAAAAAGAAAAAAACAAAACAAGAGTAAGTACTTTTTACATTTACAGTCTAATTAAATGGTGGAATTCATTTTCAGAGGATGCTGTAAATTTCAATATTCTAGCTAAATTCAAACATAATTACACTAACTCATGGAAAAAATAATTGCTACAAATTGGTAAAAAGATGCTAGCTGTAGTTCTAGAATTTTTTACACAGCATATCATTAAAAAATGGAAACAGATTGCGTTTTTGTCCTGTAACTCCAATATCTACTCTTGGAGCATTTAAAAGAGGTTACCAAAATAGACATTTGACCTGACTTAGTATTGTTGCTCTTACGTTGTTCTATTATTTGAATAATAAATAGGAATTCTTGAACAGATTAGCAAAATGGAAGTAGGCTGAAGGTAGGATATGGTGAAAGGAATGCGGGGTCAGTGGTTGTCTACCTTCAGTAGGGTGTTGCACAATACAGCTATGGCAGCTGGTGTGAGATGAAAGTTCACTGGATTTTTGACATGTTAGTGAGATTTTCTAAATTGACTGTGGATGAAGAATCTGAGAAACATTGCTATTTGCCTCCTTTGGGCTAAGTTTGAGAAGGTTCATTCATACAGCTGAGAATTTTTTTTACAAAATAGAGCAAAATATTAACAAAAAATGATGAAAGCCAGTCCATAGCAAGTCCCAGGTTTTAGGAGGAATATTTTCTTTACTTGTTTCTTGCAATATCAGCTAGCTCTACTCGTTTCCAATCTCACAACGACAAAGAAAAATAGGAATTAAATTTAGAGTTCACGACTGCACTTCCAACAGAGAAGGTGAAGAATTTTGGATGTCTGAAAGAGGAAAAAGTCCATAGCTTTATTCAATCCTTTAATTTTCTTTTTATTCATTTTTCCTTCCTGTTTCTTGCTGTCTGATGCATGCTTTGATTTCCTGCAATACCTCTCATAAAACTAGAGGCTGCAGCAGATTTTCTTACGAATTTGGGACACCATTTGCAAGAAGGGAGACAAGGAATTTCTGTATCTGGAGTAGCTTCCCATGAACACAGCTGGCTCTGTAGGGCAGACAAGGGATTGTGTGGACATCTGGAAGTGATCATCTGGACATAGTAAGCTACGCATGGTCATCATGCTTTTAATAAATGGCTGCATGCTGAAGACCTAGGAAAATGCCAAGAAGATTTGAATGATTTCCACTCACTTGCATCACACAGACAGTAAGAAGAGATTACAGAAGAATGAAAAACAAATTTATAGTTGAAAATGTTGTCTGTATTCATAAAAGATCTTTAGATTTTTGGGAAGTCTAAAATATAAAAAAATAATAATAATTCTACTTGTACAGAAAAGATCAGAATTTGCCCCAAGATTTCAGAAAAAAGGCATAGTCCTCTACAAGGATTTCTGCTGTGATTTAGAATGCATTACTATCATTAACTCAAAGCAGTAACTTTTGTACTGAACTAACTCAGCTGACCCTTCAGTTAGCAACCATAAAGCACTGGAGATAAACATGTTTAGGTTTTGGTACATATGCTGCCAAAATTATGCAATAACACACTTGTTTTCAGGATTATAGTTCAAAGAGCATTTATAGCAGACACAAATAAGCTTTTGCCTGTTTGTCTCAGATCATGTGAGAAAAAATTGAAAGGATCAATTTTCTGCCTGTTGTAGGATGAAGGAGTGAAGCATTTTCAGCATAAACACAACATTAAAAAGGACCTTTATTAAAGCCTGGATTTTTAGTCCAGGAATGATTAAAAAAAAAAAACAAAAAAACACCCTATCTACCAACTAGAAAGTAAGCTGCTTTTAAATATATTCCGGTGTGATTCTAATGGTTGATTTTCATGTATCCTCCATATTTTATCACCTAAAAAAGATGATTGTTTCTAGAAAGTTCACAGGCCATCTTGCTTTTTTCAATTCTAAATCATATGCGTGAGTATACTCCTACAACACACATACACGCATGCCTCAGAAGACATCCATATCTACCTGAACTTGGGCAAAGTATTTGACATTCTCCACACAGCATCCTTATCTCCAAAGTGGAGAGACATGGCTTTGATGGATGTACCACTCAGTTGATAAAGACTTGGCTGTATGGTTGCAGTGTGGGCAATGGCTCAATATTTAAGTGGAAACCTGTGATGAGTGGTATTCTTCAGGGTTCCGCACTGAGACTGCTATTATTTAATGTCTTTATAGACAACATGGACAGTGGGATTAAATGCAACCTCAAGTTTATATATGAGTGTTGTCATTGACACATGTCATCTAAAGAGACCTTTACAGGCTGAGAGGTTCAACAAGACCAAGTGCAACATCCCGCACTTGTCTCAGGGAAATTCTAAGCATGCATATAGGCTGGATGATGAATGGATAGAGAGCAGCCCTGTGGAGAGCGGCATGAGGGTGTTGGTTGTTGAAAAACTGAAAACAATGCAGCAGTTTGCACTTACAATCCCCAAAAACAATTGCATACTGGAATACAGCTAAAGAAATGTAGGTAGCAGGTCAAGAGAGATGACTCTCCCCCTCCAGTCCACTCTCTTGAAACCCCTGCTGGAGTACTGTGTTCAGCTCTGGGCCTCCAGCATAAGCAAGACATGCACCTGCTGGAGTCCTGAGGACCATGAAGGAGATCAGAGGGCTGGAGCACCTCTCCAGTGAAGAAAGGCTGAATTGGTGTTACTTAGGTCAAAGTGGAGAAGATTCCAGGAAAACTTTCTAGCATCCTTCCAGTATCTAACTGTGGTTTACAGGAAAGATGGGAATAGACTCTATAAGAGAGTGAAGTGACAGGACAAAGGGCAATGGTTTTAAACTGAAAAAGGGCAGACTTAGGTTAGATACAAGGAAGAAATTATTCATTAGAAGAGTAGTGAAGCACTGGAACAGGTTGCCTGGAGAAGCTGTAGATCTTGGAAGTGCTGAAGGCCAAGTTGAATGGGGCTCTGGTAACCTAATCTAGTAAAAGGTATCCCTGCCTATTAGGGTTGGAACTAGATAATCTTTAAGGTCTGTTCCAACTCAAGACATTCTGTGATTCAGTGAAGGGGGGTAAGATCTCACAAAAATCTGGAAAGACTGGGTGCGTGGATTGCTTTCATGTTACTTTTATTCTCACTGTACAATATACAATATATTCAGTATTCTGCTCAAGTGATTCTCTGCTTTTTCAGATGCTGCGTGCAAATATAGGAAATAGCTATCCCCAAACCCAAAATCAAACTTAGAAATACACACAGAAGGATTAAGGAGATAACAGAATAACTGTATCCAATACTACTGGTCTGAAATGATTTTGATTTTTTTTTCATTGCCAAGTAATTAAAGGAATAAGAAAAATGTTAGCAGTAGAGATGAAGAATATCTAATTTGGAGGGATCATGGTGATGTGCAACAATGTATAGCACTCATATGTGTAGCACTATTTTCCTAGATGTAATAGGATTTTGCTCCAAAATTTCAAAATAATGGAGAAAAACAATCACATTTTAAGAATATTTTGTTATTTTACAACAGTTCATTACATTTGGAGTTCCCCCCTCTCGCATTCTACAAGAATATCTATGATGCTGAGTTTAAAATCCTATCATTCTGATTTGGGAGCTTTTTACACCAGCTTGCAAAGAATTCAAATCCAAACAATGCCACATGAGTAACTGCTAGGGTAGCCATATTTCTTTATAGGTTTTAGATATTTTTTTCAGCTTGATATTTGAATTTCATATTTCAATTGTTATAAAGAAGTAAAACAAATTATCTGTAATTTTTGGTTGTGTTTCTGGTGTCCATTTGGAAACTGGAGGAAAACTCTTCTACCACAATAACTGTCATGTAAATCTTCTTACCTTAGTTCCTGAAGTAGGTACAAGTCCCACAGCTGCCATATATGTACTTCCAATTGTCTTGATTTTTTCTATGTCCTTATAACATTCTTTGTCCATAAGCTTTGTTTAAAACATAAAACTGTTAAATATTACATAGTATTTTAGGCAAGAAACCATAGTTATCAGAAAATATATGCAAGCCAATTAAACCATACTAGGTTTGATAAATTGAGGCTTGTTCACTTTGAGGTCATTAAAAAAACTCTACCATTAACTTGCATTTTAATACTTTTCCTACATTAGAGGACTTTCAGGTCAGATTCAGGCATTTATGAGTACAAATCAGGAGCTTTAGAGGGAAGCCCTGTGAATATACATTATAATCCAAAAGGAAGTTAACAGTACTGTTTTATTACGCAGTTCAAAGTATACTGAATTATTACAAATAACTTCTGCAGACAAAAGTGAAGATCTGATATGCTTGAAGCACAGAATGTTTAAACCTTACCTCATCAAAATCAGCAATAATTTCATTTAACAGGCGTAAACACTCCACTCCCATATTATTGCCATCCAGTTCGATGTAGAAATCATTGAAATTTGGGATGGAAGCAAACATCACTCCCACTTGTGAATAAGACTGGTAGTAAAGGTCCTGCAGTACATGAATAAATATGATTTTATTTAAATTGTTTAATCTATAGCAGACATGGTCATTATTATATGTATTTTATTGCCAAATAGCAAAAGCAATTGCCTTGATAGCTATTACAAAAGTAATCATTTTTGTAGTGAGAAAGCCAGTCCTATTGAAAAATAATGGCAAGATTTTTATCCCCTCAAAAACACAAAATATAATTTAAATCTGAGCTACTAAACCCATTTAAAACAACTTAGTCATTTTCTTTTTTCCTTTTATTTTTTTCCCCTGTTTAAGGAAGAATGGATGGAAACAAATAGAAAATCTGAACAGTTTTAGAATTTTTATTATATAGGAAATATCACTGCATTTTTTAAATATTGTTTTATAGGTAAAATAGGAGAAGGAAGAATTTTACCCTGCAGCACAAAACCAGCCTTGCTCTTTCATCTCTTTCCGAGAGTTGCAGACTCATATATTCAGAAGTAAGAG